TGTGTTAACTTTCGGATTTAGGAATATGTCTCTTTGTAAACATATATTTAAATTAGTTGCGTACATAAATTGCAAATATTGGTTAGTAAGCATAGTCTGAATTCTAAAATAATTGTGCGCCATTCCAGTTCGACGACAACAGCTTGCTTGTTGTCGTATTATGCTAAGCTTTCCTACAACTACTTCATCGTTTAAGGGCCGAACATTCTTTTCCCTTATTGGAATAAATATTTCTATCAATCTCAAATATTTATTTCTATTCTCAATAAGGCTTTAAGATTTATATATCTTTCTTTAAAATCACACAGTTGGTTGTATTATTTTATGTAGTTCTACATATAATTTTAATTAACTTATTCCATATATATTATAATTATATTTCAAGACAACTGACATTGAAACAAATAGATAAATATCAGCTAGTAGACGGTTGATTATTTCGATACAGAAACACTCGTAATTATAGAGCGGTAACCACTTTTAAGACTAAAAGCATTGCGTCATAATACAAATTGTTTTAGTATGTAACCAAAATAAAAAAACTTACCGCACCTATTGATTTAACTGTATGGGCGTAATACTGGATTTAATATAGTATATAGGTTGAACATTATATATAATTAATAGTATTTTACGTACCTGATTTATTCACATATTTAATTTACTTTGAGTCCTTTCATATATTTTATATGAAATACAACGACGAACTTCATACCACCTAACATTCTATGAATGTCGTGTTACCCACAATTTAGTAATAGTCAATATAATTTTATATACTTTTTTTAAACAAATCACACAACATCATACAAAAATAGATTGTACTACAGATGCAGAACAATCTGGAACTATAGAGACATTAACTGTTGATATTTATTCTCGATATTCTTGTTTATATATCCAGTCAAATATAATTATTTATTTCAAAATATTGTTCTTCAACAGTCTAGCAAAACCTGTTCAACTTTTGTGACAGTGTGTTTCTGTTCTGTAATTGCTGTGAAAATTAAAAGAGTCAATTAACTGAAATAAATGCTTTTAATACGATAACAACCTTTCACGGTTACTTAAGCTTTATCCTCGGCGAAGAGGCAATTATCTATGATTACAAGCGAGAGAATCCCCACCATTCGTCTATTTATGAAGCACTTCAATTTCCGCTATGCCAATCTTCGCGGCACTGGAAAAAACGTACAATATAATAAATAAATATAACAAATATTGTTTCTAAATTGTACTATAATAAAACATGTACTAATCTATAAATATTCTCCTGAAAGATGTTAGTGTAGTTATACACAGTCCTTTTCTTATCTTCTTAAATATTGACTGATTTAATATGTGAAAAATTTTGGTATTATGTATTTCAATTAAAAGTAGGCATTCTTTTTAACATTACAGTTTTTAAAACTACTGTACTATTATTGTTTTGCTTATATATGCATATATACATATATCGAGGCTGCTATTCTTCACCATTACGTAGTATAAAATAAAGTCGCTGTCGCTGTCTAACCATCCCTATGTAACTACGCAACGGATTTAGAAGCGTTTGTTTTAATAGATAGAGTGATTTTAGAGAAAGGTTTTATATGTAATATACATGTATACCCATGCGAAGCCCGGGCGAATAACTATAGTAACTGTGATGTTTTTATGATTTTTTTAAAATTATTTGTGATAAACGGTGCATTTTGAATAAAATAATCATAAATTAAACTAGGTACTTTTTTCAAAAGCTATTACCGACAATTTTATGAAGTGTTAATAATATTACTATTATGTATTATTACTATACATTATAATATTACTATACATAAAATATAAAACTGAATATATGGATACGTATTAAATTCTGTAAACATTTTTGTTTTACATCAGCAATCGTCTCCTATAAATTTAATTCTTTGATTTCCGATGCATACAATGCCTCGAGGGCATAAAAGTGTATAACGTATGATGTGTTTGAAACATAATACTGGATACATCTAACTTGCACGACCCGCGGCGTACGGTTATCATAAATCCAGCCTTCTATAGTAAAACTCGATGACTGCACACCGTGGGATCCGATCAACTCAGAGACTGAGACTTATGCAAATTGTATCCGATAGATACATACCAGGGTTGTTTGAAACGAGTCCTGTAGTCAATTACTGGATATTAGATATGTTATCGCCCATTTCCTTGTGAAACAAAGTTATGTCATTAAGGAATGCCAAAGAATGCAGATGTTACTTTAAGGTTTTCGCAGGTTGCCTAATAAACATTTAATTAAACATTATATTTATACAACGATATAAAAGTATTAGATATATGTTATATTGATAGTGCGGTATTTACAATAATTTTAATGCTTGGAGATGCGATTCTATTATATTGTGCACTAGATACTGTCACACCTTTTTTTATTGATGGGTTTAGGTTATTGTCATGTCTGTCTGTTAACCTGTAACACTGCAAACTACTTAAATAGGAGTATATTATGCTCGCCCTTTAACTAATAATATATATCTAATACTAATTTATACATATAAATAAAATTGGAGTGTCTGTTTGTAATATTAAAATAACCGTTTTTTACTGCATGCATATGAATATAAAAACGGAACATACACAAAAAAATCACTTTTTAAAATTTTTATCTGTCTGTCTGTCGGTCTGTTTGTTTCGGCTAATCTCTGAAACGGCTGAACCGATTTTAAGGGACTTTTTTTGGCAGGTAGCTGATGTAATAGGGAGTAACTTAGGCTACTTTTATTTTAGAAACATTATTTTATTGTAGAAAAATGAAGTATAATTCCACGCGGACGAAGTCGCGGGTACAGCTAGTAATAACTAAAACCTATATATAAAGATTTCTCTTAAACAAATCGGTGAGAATTAACTTTAATATTTCAAATATAGACAATACAAAAACCTAACACTTGCATTAGTATTTATATATTAATATATTGTTAATATATTGTATTATGTATTATACATTAATATATTGTTTTATAATCATGTCTTATACCTAAATCCTTATGCAAATACAATTCCTTTTCCTATGACTTCTTTTTTATATTAAGAAAGGCGAAATCGAGTTATTCTACAAATAAATGAAAATGTGGTATAAAAATTATCACTTTCTAATGTAAAATATAATCCGCAGTTTATTTCTTTTTGTTCATTACAGTGTCATATAAAATGTTAATAGACACCCAAAGCCTATAATTTCTCTCATCCTGCGCCTTGCAGCTGCAACTAACTATTAATCATAACCTCATAACATATCTATTAGGATTATATCACAATATAACTAAAATGATAAATAAGCCTCTTAGAAAACATCGAAGTAATTACTAAGGAAAAAATGATGATAGCTTGAGGATGGCTGATATTCCTTACATGTGCAATATATATGCCTCGTTAGTTAAAATAAAAATACTAAAGATTGTAATTTAGATATTCAAATTTATGTGAAATTTTTAATTTCATTCCGATATGAATTAAATGTTGTAGAGTTTTTATGTCTCCCCATAGTGTGAATATGCTACTACTGTCTTAATTATTCCTATTGTGACGTAGCAATGTCTTTTAATCTAAAATCTCTGATAAAAGAACTACGGCAGGATTTGGATTTGGATTGTTAGTAATAGGACTCCATTACAAATAAGTATATATCAGGTAAGGTTAGATTAGGTTTGATATCGTAATACCTATGAATTTATTTCATAGGTATTACGATGTCAAACACACAGGTTATTGCCACACAGGAAAACAGTATACAAAAAAAGAAAAGGGAATAATTTTTATGAATGTGTATGGAATATAAGCAAGGTATATTATGTATATTTTGCAACCCGCAGAAGTCGACAAGTCGTTACTCGCCAGTAATATATGTATAGATAAATACCAATTTTCAACTAATGCAAATCGATATCTTGTAGAGATGGTGCAAGATTCTACACTTATTAAGGAATGGCTATACTTGTTAGACAAGTCATATTGCATCATCTGCTTATAAGGTGGTAAGTTCAAAGAAATAAAATCCGGATAATGAGGGTGTCATATAAAAATAATAAGTGTAGTGTATATACTGTGTATGTTTTGATATCTATTATTATTCTAGCATTTATCTTTTATTCCATTAATAAAAGACTTGCCACATTTAGCTTTACTACCTAAAATTTGTTTAAAAGAGATTCCTTCAGCGATATAACCGTCTTCTGTGCCTTATTACTCTGTATTCATTTATATACTCTGTATACATTATGCAGAGTATTTCTAGTGATACTATGTGAATTACTGGAAATACATATGGTGCAATAAAGACTGAATAATCATAGAAATAAAATTACTTTAGTTCGATCAAATTCAGGCAAATGTAATTAACGTTTTATACCCAATCGTATAAATATATCGTTAGATCGTCGATTCATCACTAATCGATTTAAGTCTTTAAGATGATCGAAAGATAGACGTGAAAGTTAAAATCAGAAACTCAGATCAGAACTGTTCTCTTAGCCTTTTCAAATTGTTTAATGTTAATTGAAGAATGCAAATTTTTAATTTCAATCCAAGATAAAATAATTCGGTCACTGAACTAAAGTTGCCAAATATAAGTATGCATATTTATGAACAGTATATTTATTTTATTGATTTTACCGAATTCCATTAATTTTTATCATAAATATTCAGTAAATTATTGTACGTTAATAGATAACAAAATGATGCTGGACATTTATATTTAGCAGATTAGCATTAGTATAAATAAATAATAATAACATATATAAGCACTGTAAATTTATATATATATTTATATAGATACGAACAATATAAGTAGGTACGGAGCTTTGTTCCTTTGATAAGATAAGGCTTTCAGAAGAACCATGGCCATAAATGGTATTCATGATGTTGTTATATTTACTACATGCGACAATTACCAGTTTTCATCCATCAATAAAACTGCTAAATTTGTTTCAGGTGTTCAATGATGTTTTTGTTTTTGTTTTTAGAATCGAAGTTGGTCATCTGAGTCAACAACTGGGTCTTCATGGCAACTTGTGACCGGTACTAGTGTGTCACTGTACGCAGCATATTACGACGAGAGAACACCCCAACGATATGTACGGATTTTAGCCTCATTTCGCGGTTAGTACTTACTTAGTAACTACACACACGAACTATACGTACATTCATTTTACAATGTGTTGTAAAAGTATAGGACATATGGAAAACTACACTGTTTTGCCCACTCGAAAATTGTGTATTTCTAGTTCCCGCGATTTCTTTAGAAACTTTTTATAATTAAAATTTCTTTATTTTATACTAGCTAATCCCAAGATTTCGTACGCGTATAACTTTTTGTTTTGTTTGTAAACCAATTAGAATGAAACAAACACAGAATTTTAAATGAAGCTAACCATAATACATAAGCGAAAACAGCATTTAAGTCGGTTGAGCTATATCTGAGATTAGCATTCAAACTACCAAACAGATAACTGAATTACACTGTAAAGCTAAACAAAAACTTTTATAATTCTGCATATAAACATACGTGAGAATCAATATTTTACATTGTTTTAAAGCTTTAACTTTACGCAGAGTAAATTTAAATCTATACTAGGTTTAAATATAATAAATTATATTAAACGATACAATTTCATATAACATACTTGCATTAAAAATCTAAAAATTAAAATAAGTAATATTTATTATTTTGCAATATGAACTATCGATTTCACGTTTTCATCGTATATTCCAATTTTTATTATTACAAAACATTGAGTACGTTGTTCCTATAGCCTACAGCACTATTATATGAGATATATTCGAAGCTTATACGTTGATAGTGAAATATAGGTAATAAATAGACTTTCTCAGATAAAAATCTGATCACGATACATTATGGTGCCCTCGAGTTGATGATTTTAACATACAGCTATCCTCTTTTTCTGCATGCTTTAAAAACGCGATTATGACTTATAAAACTTTATGGTCGAATTCTTATCTGAAAAAAAAACACACACAACACAATTGTAATAAGGCTGTAATTTTTATAATATGAAGCACATATGAAGGTACATAGTATTTTAAGTAAAAATTGACGCAATCTACCTACATCAATAAAGACATCCGCGAAATCTCGTGTGGTGATAAAACAACACCGTAATTATTGGCAAACGTGATAGCCGATCGGCGATTTTCCACGCGTTGGAACAGAAAAAAGTACATTGTAAACAACTTAATAACGTATAACAGAGATGCGGAGTGTTATTTTCTTTTGGATTTTATTTTCGGGGTGTGTTTCAATAAGTCACGGGTGGATGTCTCATTAAAATCAAGTTGCATGCGATATATAGTGAGTCATTTTGTATATCACGTAATGTATCGAAGCAACAAAAGTGGCAGTGTCCGAGAGGAGAGTCCGAGAAGCGATAAGCTCTCGCTCATTTGTCACTGAAGGCGAGCGTACATGTCGTGTAAATTCCTTCCCGGCCAAGATAAACGCCACTCCTATATTGTAGCACGGACAGATTAAAGTACACCTCGACACCACGCTTTTTAAATTTGCAAATTTCATTTTAGTAATTCTCGATTTGTAAATATTTTTTTATCGTACATGCATATTTAATTCAATTTTAATACCCTTTGAAACTGAATCATGTTACTTCATTAATAGGAGATTATTAATAGGAGGCTAGGATTATAAATAGTTTCTCAAAAATAATGACAAAAACAGGTAATGCTTTGTACGGGAGTGGAATTTTACTCCTAACCTAATATATATCTTTACTTCGAATTGTCTAAGTTAATTCTATGTATGTATATAACATGTTATTTACCGAGTAGAAATAGTAGTGTAATAGTATTTATAAAATATATAATATAATACAAATAAGGCTCTCTTCTTTAACATCTTTAGCACAGAATACTTATCAATTAAATGAACACACTTAGTATTGTTTTTAGACTTAATACCCAATTCGAAGGGAATTTATTTAATTTCAAACAATCTGTTAATTACACATCTTCTCGCTCTGTTAAGTGGATAATTGAGGCGACTCGCATGCTAACTAAATCGGTTTCCTTGCAACATAGTACATACGCCAGTAGGGAGGATTAAGTATTACAGTAATAGGGCTCATTAAGTCATTTAACAAAAATATTTGCAATAATGTAGACATGGAGAATAAAATTGCTATTCATATAACATTCTACTTTTTGCTTATAAATTCGATCACCTGTTTTTGCTTTTGTTATTTTTTTTATGTAGATATTAATACTATGGGTATGTTATAACTAAAGAAAAATGCAAATATACCTTACTCATTCTAGTAATTTAAACTGCAACATAGGGACTGAAATTAAATTCGGCTCTAGAAATGCAAAATTAATCTAGTAATACTTACACAAACAGCGGTAAATATCCATGAACCAAAAATGTATAATCTTGTTCATATAAGTATATAACCAATTCCAACTTATTTATAAAAGATGAATTGAAAATTTTAGTATCCTATAACTATTAGATTTCTATGTACCTTCTCATCATACGACTCTCAACTGTATTAGAAACTGTTCAATCCTGATCAGAAAAGGCTGCAATTGAAGCACCGTTGTAATGACAGACGGACAGTTCCTTGCAAGAGCCGCTGTGCTGTGTCTAAGGAAATGACTCTGGCAAATTACTATCATGTAACTCCAAGAAATAGGATTTCTCGATGTAATAATCTGTACAAAAGCGGCAAAACAGTACTTATATTAGCAGTAGAGATCAAAATTATTTGTGATGGTAAAAAAATATAAAGTGTTGTTTTATTACAGGAAGAAACTTTTCCGTAGAGGAACCACTGTATTGCCAAACGCGACTCATCAACTCCTTCGATAGTACAGTGGAAGTTGTAGCAGCCAAACCTTTAGAAATATGGTGGCATGAGTGGGACTCAAATTCAGTAGATGTAGAAACGCCATTACTTTTGTCTTGTCCATTAACAGAATCTCTATATGGCCCTTCAATTGTATCTATTGTAACGGAACCGTGTAATAACCCTATCAATGCCTTTTTTTTAAAACCAAATAAAAAAGATTCCAGAAATAAAAGAAAATTTACTGTCTGTGTTAAAGATATTAATTTTAAACAAGATGTGTCAGAGAATTTAATAGAATGGATAGAAACAAACAAGTTACTTGGAGTAGATATCATTGATATGTATATTGATAGAATAAATAAAGAAAGTCTTAAAGTACTTTCATACTATAGACATAAAGGTTACGTTAGATTATATCAAGTTCCTATTAAAAATAAACCAGGTAGATCTCTATGGCAAAGAAGGCGAGATCACATTATAACTTATAATGACTGTTTGTACAGAAATATAATGGAATCTGAATTTATAATCCCTTTAGATGTAGATGAAGTCATATTACCTAAAGTAGCTGATAGTTTAAATGTATTAATCGATCGTCTATCTAAACGAGGCTGGGATCCAATACAAAACTCAGCTATATTAGTACAAAATGTTTTCTTTTTCGGTTTTATGCAAGGTATAGATAAATATAAAGAAAAAAAAGAATACAACAAAAATAAAATTTATATTAAACGAGATGATGTCCGAATTCGTAATAAAGAAAACTTAAATATAAGTGAAATAGAGTTAATAGATGAGAAAAAAAATCTAACCGATATCGTTGAAGATGTTATAGACAGTTCTGAAAATATAAATAAAGAGTATAAATCCTGGTGTGGTAAGGAAATACCAGTACCCAAATTAGTGAGACATATTGTGAGATCAGCTATAGTAAGTCCTATGGGATATTATAGTAAAAGTTTAATGTTAACAAGAAAAGTATTGACGGCATTCAACCATTACCCATTGGCTAGTCTCGGAAACTCAGATTTTGCTGGATGGTCGGCGCCATTTAGTGAAGTGCAACTCAACCATTATAAGGTATATACCGAAATTAAACCAGTACATATACATCATACCTTACACATTAAATGTTCTAACCAAAATATTTATTATATCATGATAATACAAATTATCTTTTACTATATGATAATTTAATGCTTTGATATTATTGTTTCTGTTAATGCATAACATAGTCATATTTCGCCTTATCATTTGCACAGTTTTTCTTTAGTATTAGCAATAAAAGTTTAACTAAGAAAAATATATACAGTCTTTAGAAAAATAAGAAATGATAAACTTTATTTGTTTAATTATCCCAATTACAGTTTCCTATGATAGACTTTTATGTAAACCGTTTAACTGTACACCAATAATGATTCTTTTTGAATCCCTTCACGTTTTATCTAATAAATAACAGTATCGTGTGCCCACTTTGGACAGGAGTCGTGCAACACGACAGTGGTGGCGGAGTGCGCGAGGTACGGGCGGCGTGCACGCGTCGACCGCGCCGCGCTGCGCCTGCGACGCCGGCTCACCGCTGCACTCGCAGATGCCATTTGTACTCCAATAAACGTTATCTAATAAGAATAGTTTTTATTCATAATTCTATCCTCGTCATATCTAACTTACTAAAGAAGAAAAAACTAGAATGCATTGAGATATACTTAAAGTAACAGAATTCTGTTAAATGAAACCAAAAATATATAATTAATCATTACGCGTATTAGGATTGATATAGAAATATATCCTCGAAATTGTCATCCTAAAATCGTGTAGACAGAAGTTTTGTCAGCAGATATTGATAAAGACAGTGTTACAGATTAAAAACGTATTAATTAAAATTAATATTTTAAAAGTTTTGTTAATTGTTTAATTACAAGTATGTTGAAGTACAAAATGAAAATGTGTAAATTTTTTATTTATCGAATTTCAGGAAACAGTTAATATTATTTCGGAAATTTTAATTTATTATGTTACCCATTTTTTACTGAAAAAAACATAAATAAATTAAAAAAACCCTTTCCAATAGATAAGATTGCAACCTACCTTTAAAAGTTTCCAATTGTGTATTGTTTTAAACTATTGATTAATAAGTTAAATAACTTTACCACTTGGAAACCTTCACTTAACACTTCTGCTTCTCAATATTCACATATAACGACACATACCTATATTATACCTGTAGATATGTTACAATATATATTTATGCATAAACATGAAAATACCGATTATAATACGCACCGCAGATAATTTGAATATGTAAGTAAAGTCATAACGAAAGTAACAAAAGTAAGCCTTAGGAAACATGCACGATCGTGTAAAATTTACATGAAAGAACGTCTACCTGCTTACTTGATTTTAACATGCCTTTTTAGGGATCCGTATCCAAAAGTTACATATTAAACATGTCTCCGTGCCAGGTTTACATTACAGTCCATCCATCTGATAAAAAGTATTTACTATATTTCTGGAAGAAATGTTAACATAGATACTACTTACATGCATAAGATAGTAAAAAAAATGTGAAAACACAAAAATTTACACTATTATATAGACTTTTTTATTTACTTATTTTTTATTATGTTCTTTGAGAAAGACCAATTATTAAGTCTAATATAATTTATATAAATCCAACATGTTGTCTCATGTTTAGTAAATATATATTTCATCAATAGTCAAACAGAAAAGGTTATTTCTATTCAGTTTTAGCTTAGATATACTGATAAAAAAATAAAATCCTTTTTATTTATTTTTATCAGTATTTTACACAAAAACTACTTTTTAAAATTCTCACAGTACTAAGGCCAGATTAGACTAATAACAATATTCTGTATATAAATAATTAGGTTATTCTACTTGTATTTCGACTACATGTCTTTTATGTATTTTACGTGCTCTATGAACTTGTATTTCAATAGCTCGTTACAGAATCGACAGAAATACATATTTCCTACCTTTGTGACTATTATGTGGAAATTTATATACATTTTTGTACAATAAAAACTACTAACTACAGAAAATTATATTAATTTTAGTCATAATGATTCTTTTTATAATTTCTTACCTCTTTTATATATATCGAGTTTCGACTACAGATAAGTAGTCGCTTTTTTATTTAATTAGACGGGCAAACAAGATGACGGTCCACGTAATGGTGACGAGATTGCAAATAAATTGAAAATAACTAGAATAAAATTATATGTATATTATATATACATACATACATATTATTGCTTAAATACATTCATCGTGCTCGTCTGCTCTTATACATAGGTACATAATAATAATTCTGCAACATCCAAGAACAGATAAAAAGAATATACATAAAATTCACATTGAATAGCTGAGAGCCAAATAGACAAGCAACAGTGACATGACAATAGGAAACAAATCGTTAATGCCACGAGCAATATTTCAGATGCGGCCTACCACAGGATTATCATTTATAGTAGAATGAACCCCATTTCAAATTCCAAGTTCACGATACTAAAAAGTTAACAATACGTCCCTCTAAATATATCTAGAGATACGGGCATGCAATTTCTTCGATATATTATAATGTAGGTAGATATTTTTTATATATTACACAAGTCTTATTCATTTGATTATTATCTCCATATTTTCCTTAAATTCTTCTAATGTCAACATTAAAATATAAATGAATTAATTCTACTATTCATAAAGTATTAAGTAAGAAAAAAAGAAAAGTATTAGAATGAAAAAAATAAAAGTATATAATTTCGTCTTTCAGCCATTCGTTGTATGATGATTTCTGTTAGTTTTTAAATAAAATAAAAGTCATAAAATTATGTCTGTTGTGAGTTCAATTTCATTGTATTATTTTAATGTACCATAAGTACAATGTAGGGATCTCTATAGACGGGTTTGATTTACTCCGGATGTAAATCGTGTGTGACCAAATACATAAATCGGTAATGCCATTATAATGACTCCGAGCATAGTCACAACACTATAATGCTTTTCAGTCACGATATTACAATAAACATCTCATTTATGCTATTATTTTCCATGGACAAGGCATTAAAAACAAAATTATATCTTAATTTTTCCCTATTTTTCTTATACAATGATGGTGACAAACAAGCATTGACGTCCCATCTGATGGTAAACGGTTACCGTAGCCTATGGACGCCTGAGACACCAGGTTTGTCCAATGACAATTTCATTAAATTTTATCTTAATCTTTGTCCCACCCATGTTCCCTGTTTGTCTGGAACAGGGTCCCCCTGTACATTTGCGCCAGAGAATTATATTCTGTTATTATTGTTAATTATTATTAATAAATTTTAATTTTACGTTTTTAAGATAATATTGTAATGTTTAAATTTTCATATTAATGCCAAATATACTTACAAACTTAGCCAAGGTAAATGGATAAGTAATTTGAATTAAAGACGTGATTTACATTAGAGTGATTGTAATATTGAAATAATCGTTTTTTACTATATGCATATGAAAACGCTACAATCACCAAAATATTTTTTTACAATTTTTGTCTGTTTTTTCCGACTAGTCTCTGAAATGGCTGGACCGATTATGACGGAACTTTTTTGGCAGGTAGCTGATGTAATAAGTAAGTAAGTAACATAGGCTACTTTTATTTTAGAAGCAATTTTATGTTTCTAAAATAAAAGTATTTTAGAAACATAAAGTTAAATTTCACGCGGAAGAACGCGGGTACTGCAAGTTTATTATATGTTTAAACTTTAACTTCAGATGTCTTTGCTAACATTAAAACTTAACGTTTATAATCATAAATATTAATATCACTAAAAATACAAATTGCTTACATTATTGATATTAGCATTGGTAAACATAATAAATACACGAGTATATATAAGTAGACATGTATCCTATATCCAAAACGATTGAATTGGATCAGTATTCGCGCGTGCGATCTTTTATTGCATATAATATGACCATTATGTGTCCATAAGATTACTTTTTACACACCACAGAATTTCACATTACTTGTTGAACAAACGACCACAACGCCAACATAATTTTATCGTATTTGCAAAGGTACTTACAGTACAAATGCAGGATCATAAAACCGTAAATACTCAATAATACTAAAGCATAATAATTTAGGTGTAAAATAATATTCATATTTGATGATTCCACTCTAAATAACAATGGCAGAAAGAATAATACTTTTAGTTTGAAAGATATACAAAATTACTTCGTATAAATAAAAATAAATCGTATAAATAAAATTGTACGTGTTAATGATAAAAAAAAACAGAAAAATTGTTATATATTTTAATATTTCATCAATACTAGTCCATAAAGAAGTACCAGGCTTCAATGAGTCAATGTCACGGTCCAGAGTTTCGCGAGACACAGCACTGGAACTGATCCATTAACATCAGATACCACCGACTAGTTTATTGGACATTGTGCGTTCTGATCGCAGATAAGCTGATATCGTGTTCGGCGCGGTAATCAATTACTACCGCCTACCCACCTACCTTCGTGCTACTCATTCAATACCACAACATTCTTATTGTGGCCACTGTGAAAATTAAACACTCGTTACATTTACAGATGTATGATAAAATAGCAATTGAATTTAAATTGCTATATTCAATCTTCTTTGTTTATTTAGGACTGTGCGGATGGGCCCGCTAAAAGTTTATGAATTGCTTTGACTTTTATCTGAATTCTTCGTTTTAAGTTTTTCTGCTTTTTATTGCAGAAATAAGCTTTAGTATGGACGCCTGCTTTTAGCATTACTCATGTAAAGAAATGTTTGTTGTTATGTTGTTTATATAAATTCCTCAGTATGTTAGTATAGATATGTATCTCTGATGTATAGAAACAGAATAAAAACAGAAAACTTTTTGACTTACAACAACTCTATATTTCCTTTTTTACTTACTATTAACATTACTGTGTCTTCGTAATACAATCTATGTACACAGACAGACACACTCGTTTATAATATTAGTATGGATTCATTATATGAGTCAGATTGAGCTAAAAAAGCAAACCAAAATCTCTGTCTAGTTAAAAAAGAAACAATCAATTGAATTCATTTTAGAGATCAACACCAAACCATGGAAGCTCATTATCCAATGTTGATTGTATCAGCCTTTCATCGTTTTCGATTTTAGATAACGCCTGCTGCCTGACTAGTATCTTCAGACGAAATAAAAGAGATTATATCTAAACATAAAACATTTATATCTATTCATATGTCTTTAATGTATGGGGTAATCAGAAGGAATGGGTGCCATAAGCCCTGTATCATAATAATACAAATTATTATTTTATTATTAAATCGATAAGATTATTCTTAAATAGATGCATATATGACTCTTTGTACAAAGCAGTAAAGCAATGTTGTAGTTACACAATCTCTGGCAGAGATTGTGTAACTTCAATTGTTAATAGCATCGTCCATCCTGTGCCCATCGTCAAGTAACGTGTTCAAAAATACATGCAAGGAGAATGTCGTACCTTAGATATTACTACAGCTATCAATGGAACATAGTTCTACTATTATATTTACCACAACTTAAATAGTTAACAATGTATCCTATCTTAAGTTACTGTCGCAAATTAATATAATATTATTGAAAAATGAAACGTGACACTTTACCAACATGCAAGTTTCTTTGAATATAAGAACAGGCACAAAAATGGTGGTGTTCTCTACACTGTAAATAATATAGGTAGGATTTTTTTTCAATCAGTAACGCATAATATACGTAAGGGCTAATGGGTTTTACACAAATCTTTCACAATTAATGTTAATGAAAGTGAAGTTTCATTTCAATTCTTTTTCTGCTTATTTTAGCGGCTTTAGTAATATATTAGTAGTACAGTACTAGTACTTTAGTAATATGTTAGAAGCTATTAA